TCTCTCTCTCTCTCTCTCTCTCTCTGTCTCATTGTGTCATATGGATTACTGTTAATTTATTATGCTGATCTGTTCTGTACGACATCTATTGCACGTCTGTCCGTCCTGGAAGAGGGATCCCTCCTCAGTTGCTCTTCCTGAGGTTTCTACCGTTTTTTTTTCCCCGTTAAAGGGGTTTTTTTTGGGGAGTTTTTCCTTATCCGCTGTGAGGGTCTTAAGGACAGAGGGATGTCGTATGCTGTAAAGCCCTGTGAGGCAAATTGTGATTTGTGATATTGGGCTTTATAAATAAAATTGAATTGAATTGAAGTCAATGGAGAACCAGTTCTTATTTACAATGCTGACCTGGCCACGAGGTGCTGCTTATAGGGACAATTCACCCCAAATTCAAAAATACATATTTCTCGTCTTACCTGTAGAGCTATTTCTTAGTTTAGATTGTTTTGGTGTGAGTTGCCAAGTGTTTGAGTTCTCGGTTGTAGAGATGTCTGCCTTCTCTTGAATATAATGTAACTAGATGTCACTCGGCTTGTGGTGCTAAAACTACCAAAAAAATACATTTGAGAAACTCAATAGCAATGTCTCTTCACAGAAATCATGACCCGGTTACTCAAGATAATCCACAGACCTTCTTGTGAGCAGTTTCATGTAGGAACTATTTTCTTTCTACCAAACTACACCCGCAAATCCTATAACGATGCAAAAGGAAGTGTACATCTATGTATTCTGACTATTAGTTCAATAGCACGGCTCGGCTTGTGGCACTTTAAGCACCACAAGCCTTGTTCCATCTAGTTCCCTTATATTAGAGAGAAGACAGACATGTCTACAGCCGATATAACACTCAGCAACTTGCACCAAAACAGACTGATAAATAGCACAAAGGTTATGAGAAAAAATGTATTTTAAAACTAATATTTGAAACAGATGCTGTTTAAGGAAAAAGTACAAAATTCAACCATTTATGCTATATCCTTACATATTAAAAACAACAATACCTGGTGCTATTTCAGAAATCCCAGAAAGCATTTACCTCACTGTGATTCTTTTTCTTTTCTTCCAACAGCCTCACCATAATCCTCATCTTTTGTTTTGCAGCAAAATTTAGGCAAGCTCCTTCAATACAACAAATAAGTTGTCTAACCTGGCAGCTACAATGTGCTTTTTTATGAGCACAATCCACTTGGTCTCGCTTCTCCCTCTCTTGTATCCTCTGATACCTTCACTCCGCCCAGACAGCACTTTTGTGACGAATCGTAACTGTGTGCCAAAAGTATATATTTACTCCTACGACTTCAGAATTCCACACGTGAAAGAGACCGTCCATTCACAGAAAAACACTCTGGGTATGAAAAGTTCGATGTTTAGACCTGAGATTCACTGTGTGATCCTGTCACTGTACATCTACAGAAGAACCTGTGAAATATAGAGGAAACTTCAAAAAGGAAGTATTCATTGTCAAACAAATACATTGTTCTTCATACCGTGCTAGGCAACTGAAGACCTGAGTCGATCAATGTAATGATGTCGTCATTAAAACTGGATTCAAGACTTATGATGTCGTCGATCACATCGTCAATCTAGATAAAGCAGAAAGGAGAAAACACCAGTGGCGCTAAGTCAGTAAAGTTTTCAGGGTTAAATGGGTTGTTGTAATCAACACGTATGTATATAATGTGCTTTGTGATCTAACATAGTCCTAAGTATATTCTGTAAGGGCTGACATTAACACATTCAAGTGAACTTAAGAGGCCTTATTTCAAAGACAGGGGTGCGTGCAAGAGAAGTGCTGGCATGGTTAAACTGTAGGTGCAGTATTTAACATCTTATTGTGACAACAGGCCAACAAGGGTATGATGACAAAAGGTATGCATCAGTGCAGTGGGACCTTTGGAAACTCCATTGCAGAGCAAACAAAAAGTAATTAAGCTAGAAGTGAGCAGAGGGATAGACATTTAACTTCTCCAAAATGGCACTGTAAGTTTGCAGAAAAGCAACTACTGACGTGGTTGTGTAATCTGCTGTACCAGCACACCAAAAACCACACACAGTTAAACCACTGATATCAAAGCAGGAATTTCCCATACTTCCTCCTTGTTGGATCCGATGTTAAGTAGGGCCATAGGACTGTTAGGGGCGCTGCTGGCAGAAGGAGCAACTTCAGGGGCAGAACTGGACTGCTGCACAGGGGATACACCCAGGGTCTGAGTAACTGCATTGTTGCCAAGAGTGGTGGAAAGGTACTGTTTCACCTGCTGCCTCTGTGCCTGCTGGATGTGGTACTTGGTGGGGTTCTCCAAGTGGGTCTGCACCTGATCATTTAAAGAGTTGTTAAGTTCTGACATTATCACATCTTACTAAACACAAGTGATGAACATACAACCAGGACGCTCTTACTTTAAGCACCTCCACAGGCACCTGTGCTGGAGGGGGGCGGGCAGCATTTGGGGGCAGTGTGACAGAGATGGCTGGAGTGGTGTCAGAGGCCCGGAGCTGAGAGGCTGAGGCCTGTTGCTGTGCTTCACGTCTCTCCTGCTCCTGGGCTTGTTCTCGCATCAGCTGCTGCCGCAGCAACACACGTGATGACATGGCTGAAGAGAGCGATCCAGATCTAGGGATGGAGCTGAAAGCAAACACAAAACAAAGGAGCATTATAGAAGGTATTTCATAGTAAGTAATGTTATTGTGTTATTACACAGCTCAATCCTAAAAAAATTCCACTATAGTACTCTACTATACGATACTTTGGAGGCCTATACAGAAGTTTAATCTGACCATTGTTATCAACATAATTTCAAATGGAAAACTTTGCATTTGGTTTAAAATGATCCAATAAAATAAGTTATATAGCAATAAAAGTGTTACGATATCATCTTGACAAATCAACACACTTCTTTCAATGTTTAAACCAGACCATTATTTCTCTTTTCTCTGCCAACCAGCACAATTGAGTTTTTGCTCAACACCACCAATCAGCTTGTAAAGCTCTCTCCACCTACGTCTGATGTGTCATCAAGTGCTGACTGTGGAAAAAAATCATCCTGTCTTTGTCAGTAATTGATCACATCAGGGCCAACATCAGTCTTCCCTTTTCCTGGTATGAATTTATTGAACTGCCCTCAGCTGATACCACCACATGATCTAACAGTTACTGTGTTATAAATGAGGTCAATAAGCCCATCTCTCCTCCCTTCTACTAACAGTTCTGTTCTAGATGTGTAAAAGACAATTTTAAGATAGCTTGTATTGTACTGCTGCTGAAAATTCCACAGACTCCATAAAAATGTTAAAGGAATACTTCACCCACAAAGAACCCTTTGTATATCAGTTAGTCATGCCGTGTTTCCTTAAATTAGTTATATTAGTCTTGCATGGCTCCATGGAAAATGGTGAACATATTGATTCATCAATTGACTCTGGACCACGTTTAACAACAGCAACAATATATCAAAACAGCTGTTTACAAACTCTGAACACCTTATGCAGTATAATCAAAGTCTCCTTTATCCAGTTGTATGCTCAGTAATTCCCAAAGAGGTGCATTTATGCTTGAAAAACCCCTCAGTATTGGCATCCGGCTTTGAAGACAGCATACATAAGTTTCACTTTCAGTTCAGTTTTACTTACCAGTGGGTTGTTTTTTTTTTTCTGCAAAAGTGCATGTGTTTGGAAAGTACTGACTGGTTGAATGAGATTTTGATTATACGGCAGGCATTGTGAGAGAGTTTGTAAATGGATGTTTGAATATATTTGATGATACCTTTTTTTAGTGGCATTACTTTTAACTCCATCATATCTGGACATCCTCCCATCTCCAGTTGTATATAATGCTGTTTGCCTTTCTGTTACAACCCCTCCTCTGAGATACAGTATTGACTAACCTAGAGCTGTTACCTTAGACACAGACCAGCCTTCACACCTCAAGCCTACATTCACAGTCGGAGTCTCGAAAGCTCCTCTTACGTTACATCCTTTAGCTGATTATATACTTGGATCACTGGTTTTTACCACACTACTTGTTACTACCGAGTTGTTCTATAGTCTTGAATGTCTTCTAGTGTCACCCAGATTTAAGACTTCTCACACGGTGTCATTTATACTCATTCCCCACGTTTCGACAGCAGATGCAGGGACACAGTTTAAATCTCTCGTTACAAGTTGTGTAACGTTACATGCCTACAGAGCGCCTAGCATGCTGTTACTAGCTAACGTTAACGCTGTGTGAAAATAAGTTGACAGAGCCGTTATGTCCGCGAGCAAAGCCCACCACACTGACAACATACCACTAAAAAACTACTTTACATCACGTCATGGTCGTATTTGGGTAGATTTATGAGCCATTTAAACAAGTTATACACTTCAAAGGGTTAGCTATCTTACTTTTAGCAGTTTTTGTAATCTCTATTTTTAGTGAGCTCTAACGTTAATCTCGCGTCATGCTAGCTGAGATAAACTGACAGCTCAGTGCCGCTAACGGGCCCAACGCTAAAGCTAACTACTATTTACACTATCAACCCTTTGCAGTGGCTCTAATTTACCTACCAGTCGTCAAATAGAAAGAGTTGGGATACGTTTATTGACAGCTCTGGGGTATGTATCGGCAGCGCCTGAACACACAGCCACGCCAAACTGAAAATAGGAAGTTGCCGATTAGCTTAAAGAGCTAGCTGCCGCTAGTCGCCCGACATGCTAATGTTAACTAGCTGGGTAACTTATTTTGGAGGAAAGATAAAAACGTACTGTGGCAATAGATTTGTTATACATAATCACAGCCATCAATCTCCGAAGTCCTCCGGTTTCTTTGCCATCGTAAAGGTTGGTAAGTTAGAAGCAAGTCCTTCTGCTGTCGTTAGCCGCGGCTCTAAACAGTGTTGTTTATCTTGGGCCGATGGGCTGAGGTCATCCTACTCTGCTTACCCGGAAGTTGTTGACTACTGAGGTTATTGAATTTTCAAAGCGTCTTTCACAGTGCAGGCATACCTTATGTAAAATGAAATTACACTGTAATATTTATATGATAACCAGTGTAACTGAGATTCGTTATAAAAAAAAGGTAATTTAAGTGTTTAAATTATATAAAGTTAAAGTACAATTAACAAAGAGCTCATAGATGTATAAGCCAAAGTGCAGGTACAAACTACTACAAAAACCTCTAGTGAACCCTAGTGAAAAACTACCATTAAAGAATACAATTTTTTAATAATTGAATTAAGATTCAAGGGTTTTGCATGTGGATTTTAATACATTTTACACCAGAATACTGCAGTTTACATCCAATAAAGACAAAACACAAATAATGTATTCTTTTGTTTTTTTTTTATTTCAGTTTATTTTAATCAGCTGTCTGAAAATGAGAAGTCCATTGCAGCTGTCAAGGTGTCTGAGAGTTTGGTGGCAAGTTTGTCTGTAGAGGGAAAAAACACGATATAATTTTTATTATTAAATATACAATCAGTGTCAGGTATAGAGAATACACATTACTCATACAGAGGCTTGTCTGTGTGTGCGCGTGTGATTACATAAAGATACATAACATATTTTGACCATCAGCTACATTGAGCAGACAAAATCAACACTACAGACTTACAGAACCTTTTACATGAGAATAGATATTTCAGTCACATACAGCCAAATCTCCACAATAAACTGAGAGAGCAATCTTCAAGTCTTCACTGGGCCTGATTCCTTTTTTGCCTTTTTACTTTTGTTTTACTAAAACTAGAGAGTTTCTTTGTTTGCTTACTTTTTCTTTGAAGTGTTTGAAGAAATCATGGCATGAATACAACTCACCACAGTCAAACTGATATACTATAGTAGTAGACTGGGACCAATATTAATAATAAGAATCAGAAATACTTAATTGATCCCTGAGGACAAACTGTGATTCGTTACATTCACTCCGGTGTAAAGAATAGAGAATTATAGTAAGCGAGAAAAGGAGTATGAAATAGAAATATTTAAATACAAAGTAATAAAATCCAATAAAATAGAAATAAAAATGTGCATTACGCTACAATGTTAACACTAGTACTTAGGATATTCAGAATAAAATATATATCTTCACTGTGCTGAGTCTGTAAGTGTGTAGACTCACAAGTCAGTCTTTAGACGCTTTGCTTACGTAAAGACTGATGACTTTCTCCCTGAGTTTGTGTTTAGATGGGCGGATACAATTTCAGAGTTTAAAAAAACTCCCTATGTTGCAGAACCAATAGTAAATCCGCAGGGCGGTCCTTTGGTGGCTCGCTGAACTCTTGTGCTTGTAAACATAGTCCGCCTAGAAACACGTGTAGCGGTACAAAATGACTCAAGTCGCTGTAAGTCCTTCATTTCCACAATCTTGTGGACTGAGCACACGTTTGATGAAACAGAGTTAAATCTCTCGGCATCTATTTTCAAGCTCTCTGTGTGTTTGTGTCCTTGCAGACGAGAAAAGGGGGAGCGCACATTTCCGGGAGGGCGTGTCCTTTTCAAAAATGCAAGAGGTGTTGCTTTGTTGCCGACCGTTTTCGCCGGTGTGTTAAACACACTTTAGAAAGGAGTGTCCCCAGACTATCAGAAGGCGGAGATCTCTGATTGTCTGGTGGCGAGACTAGTAAGTGTGTAAGAATATAAAAATATGTGCATTGTGCTAACAATTTATACAAACCAGATCTTTTCTGTTGCTTTTTCCTCTTCTTGCTGGCCGCCAGGAGTGCCTGGCCCTGCTGTAACGGATCTACATCAATGATATCCCTCAAATTTGGAGCCTTGGATGCAGCATCACTTGCAGGTAAGTCCATCTTTGACCTCTGAGATTTTATCTCGACTGTCATTGGTCCAAACTATTTCGAGCAGGACAAAACATTAAGATCAGTGACACACATTTTACAGTTTTTAAGTGCACAACATACTGTAGTTAAATAAACACTTTAGTTGTAATGATTGCACTGTTTCACACCTCTGGGTCCTGGTCATCCTCCATAGATTGAATGTCATCTTTAAATTCAGTCTCTTCCAAGGACCCCCCCGCCATGTCCAGATCAGAAGGTGGTTCACCCCGGCCACCTTCTGTCATTCCAGTGGTTTCCATGCAAAATCCCATTTGGATATCAGGACAAGAAGATTCTGAAAGATGGCAAATAAACCAATCAAACTTTTGAGTAACTGCTGTTTCTTTGTGGTGGATGGCAGCTAATCTGATAAGACCATGGTGATCCTAGTCAACTCTGTTTTAGTCTAATCTAATGTTAACCATGAATTTCACCATTATGGAAGTACTAGTTTAGTTGTCCTTCTGTGACACTATTAATTATCATCAGGGGGAAAAATGGTCAAGGGTCAGGTCAGAAAAGTGTTAAACCTTGTGGTGTGTAGATATATAGATTTTTTTTTTAAGATTTTTTTTGGGCATTTTTTGCCTTTAATGGACAGGACAGCTAAGTGTGAAAGGGGGAGAGAGAGAGGGGACGAGACACAGCAAAGGGCCACAGGCTGGACTCAAACCCGGGCCACGGCGGCAACAGCCCTGGGGCGCCCGCTCCACCACTAAGCCACCGACGCCCCTGTTCTGAGGTTCTTGAAAGATTGATAAGTGGGTCGTTCTTCTTAGTAACGGTTTGTGAATGAGGCCCACTCTTTCTAGATTCCAGTGGAAGTAACCTTTACCTGCAAGAACTTCCTGATTTCCTTTTTCCAACTCATCCCAGTCAAACGCTTTGCCCATCTCCGTAACAATCTCGGCGCTGACGTGTGTGGGAAGAGTGTGTGTCTCTGGAGGATGTGTAAAGTAGCTGATCCTTCCCCTGAAGGTTACAACATGCTGAAATTAATACAGTGCTTATAATAGCAGGTTGATCTGTCAAACATCCAAAATTCTCATTTTTACCCACCCTGTCCAGTCCAATAATACACTCTTTGCTGCTTTGTCGGTGTCAGGCAGTCCCCCCTTCCTTAGTTTGCCTTGACGTCGAGCAAGCATTGCCAAGAACTCCAGAGCTGTGTGAAAGTCTGAAACTCCGTAGTGCTCGATGATCTGTACATCCAGCATAATTAACGATAATGGCAGTGTGCAAATGACACAATCAAGCAACACACAAAAAGAATATTAAGACGACATGTTGTACCTGTGCCTTGTTGCAGCGTCGAAGGATGGCTTCAACAGGTGGAAGGGGATCTACGAGCTGTTCGATTTTCACACAGTTACGGAGAATCATTGCTGCATCAGATGTTGAAGTTGCCATGACAATGCCAGGGCAATCTAGGAGCTTAATGTGTTTGTCCAAATGCACCTCTTGAAGGCACCTGAAATCCCTCAAACCCATCAGCAAGACTAGCAGGGAACAAGCAGGACAATATATTATATTTATATGTATTATAGTAGCTTACTTGGTGACACCAGGAGTGGCTCCGACATTACACGCTCGTGCTCGTTTCAAACTGTTGATCAAACTACTTTTTCCTACATTAGGAAAACCTACAAAACAGGAGTGGAAACATTGTTTTCACTTTGGACAACCTCGCATTTTACACAGAGAGAACCTGGTGCATTGCTGGATGTGGAACTTACCTACAACACCCACGGTGATGGCCGTCTTGATGTCAAGGTTGCGGCAGTAGTTTCCTAGAAGCTTCATCAAGCAATCTGCACCAACACAAGCACTGGTACTGAGTAGCTCTGTGGTGGCTTGAGTCACTGGTACGTTACTGCGTTTCTGTCCATGGCACAAGATGGAGGGAAAAATTGTTTATGTGAAATTATGTTATTCCATAGCTTTAATTATTTGAGTCTGAATTAACACTGTTAGGTTATCAAAATATACGTTTTTAAATGCATACCAAGTTCTTGGTCTGTTGCTGAGTGGATGCTTTGAAAGCTACTGTAGGAAACTCATTACGAAGATATTTAATCCACTTTTCCACAATTTCCTTTGACACCAAATCTATAATCAAAGTAAAGCCATATAAGTTAAGCATCGCATATTTGGCACAAAAGATAAAATACTTGCAACTACATTGTTGTCCAATCAAAAAGCAAATTTAGACAATCCCTAAAAGAAATACTTTGTAAATGTATTTAGTTAACTTACCAATTTTATTAAGGACTAAAACGATCTTCTTGTTTGTTCCACTTTGAATGACTGCCTGTTCCACCTGAGGACATCTGCAGCCAAGAGGGTCACGTGCATCCAAAACCTCCAAAATCACATCTGAGGCCTCCACGACCTTTAATAAAACATTTTATAAACACACAGTGTTTATATTCATAACTCTATTTGACCCTGTCCTTTTACTTTTCTGTCACAGCTGAGGGAACAGCGTGATTCAGGCCCTGTCTACACATATACAGATATTTTTGAAAATGGTTATGTTCCTCTACATTTTGGCCTCTCGTCCACAATAAAACCGAGATACTGTAAAACGCCTTCTAAATTGGAGATTTATTCTCTTCAATTCGCACATGCACATTGTTGCTTTGTTTAATGGACATATGCTGGAAAATGCAATGACGGACACTGGTTTACATTTTGTTAGCACTGCTTGGACTAATGACTACTTCACACTTAAACTTTTAATTGCTGCACCACTTCACGGATAAATAGAGTATTTGCTGCACCCAATGTTTTTTACTCCACCTCAGCAACTGCAGTTTAAACTCTGTCAGAAATGGCAGTTTTGGATCAGGCCCAGTCAGACCAGCAGATAGTGGGACACTTTCCAGAGTGGGATTATTGTTGATGAGAAATAGAAGGAAAACTGTGGTATGTCAAGAGCATCACTCATACGTTTGAGTGAGCTCCTTCGTCCTTATATCAAAGGGGAATATTGAAAGGCAATTGCCTGATTTATGGCAGTGCGTACTTTAATAATTATTCTCCAACATTCATTGCCTTTTGGCTGCTTTTAAAAAGGTT